CGAAACATACAGATTCACTGCAACCGCTGCAGTTTGGTTTATTGCACTCACAAAATCGGTATCTTTTCTGGTTTTGGGTTTTATTTTGGTTGCATGGAGAAACCGAGGGAAGACGAGCCAGAGACGATTCTCTGGCCGTTTCTTTTATATTTTTTGTTTTAAAAATAACTCAAAATGCGTGCACCACTCGGCCTGTGTTGTATTATTGTTTTGGTTTTCGGATATTTCGGTTTTTTTTTTTTGAATTCGTAACGAACGACAACACGAGACCGCCAAAGAGAGAGGACAGCCTGGTACTCGTAGTACTGGTAGCTCGAAACCGGTCGGAACGTCTGGTCGCGGCAACAGAGAAACGTCAAATGAAAACTGAAAACATTCAGGGGTATGCGAGGTCTCTGCGAGCTCTACGAAACGTACTAAAAAATACCACCAAGCCAGTCGTGCGATTGGAGCCACGGTAGTTAGAGCGACACAGCTATAGAGGGTAGAGAAAAGGAGAGCAGTCCCCAAAAGACAAAGAGAGCATGCGTGGAGCATAAGAGGGCGCCAAGTTTGAATTTTGAATAATTATATAAAAAAAAACAATAAATTCTGCTAAACGAAAACCTTAAAATTGAAGATTAAATTTAAAGAATAACATTCTTTTTTATCTTTTTTTAAGAAAAATATTTAAATAATGACTAGTAATACATTAATTCTGAATATGAGATTAGCAAGCCTATTTCGTGACTCATGAAAAAAAACAGAACCCCTTTTTCAGAAATACTTCCCAACTATTTGATAAGAATTCTCCCAAAAGTGGATTTCCGATCAAGAAATTTATGGTTTTTTCTTTTCTGACCTTGGTGCTATAGTGCTTTATTCTACACTCTAATTATAGTTGAAATCTGGGAAGTAGTCCCACGTCCAAATCAACACGTCTGTTTATAAACAAAATATGACCAGAAAAGAAGTCCAAAGAAAATTAAAAACTATTTCTGTTCTGTACTTGAAGAGTTAAAGATACAAAGATAGAAAGATACAAAGCCCTGTACTAAGTCTGATTTATTGCGTTTAATTTACGTTCTCAACTCTAAGAGCTTAACAAATTTAATAAATATGTACATTTTTGCTCCGGTTGACGGATATTAAGTTTGAAAGATAGATGGGCAGATACAAGTTAGATCGCCGGCTTCCCGAGCTTCCAGCTCTTCTCATGGTTAATTGGTTATGCCGAGCCCGCATTCAGAGTCGCAGAGTCCGCAGCAAAGCTTTAAATTCCATGTGAAAGAGGTTTAAGTTGGGGCCGAGTCTTTTCATTACTTTATTTTCTGTGGTCGTTGTTTCTGTCAGCTGGCAATCAACAACGAAGTCAGCGAGGCAGCAACAAGGTAAACATCACAGACATGGGGAATAAAAATCCATCCAGCCAGCCAGCCAGCCAGCTAGCCAGTGGGGGAGGATGACACAGGCCCTAGGTTAATGTCAGAGATCTACCAAAAAAATAAAGCAAGTTGAGGGAAATATTTTAAAGTTGCATTGTTGCGGTGGCTCCGTTTGTAGAAGAGGAAATTAAAAAGCCGCGAGTGAATGAGTAACGGAAAGATTTCCACATGGCAAAGTTGAAGAGTTGCCAAAGAAAGAAAGAAAGAAAGAGGGAGCCCCAGTCGGATCCGGAGCCGGAGCCAGTCAGCCAAATGCAACAAGCGGAAAATAATTATAAATTTTAAGTGCCACAATGCGGCAGCAGAGCGATGCAGAGGGATACGGATAGATTCAGTGTATCTTTCAGTTTTTTTTTTGTATCTTTTTCTTTCATTTTTTTTTTGGATAATTTACAGGCAGAGTCGGTACGGATACGTGTAGGTAGATGATGGCGATAAACATCGCACATTTCTGGCTTAGAATTCATATGGAAGTAAGTGTGTGTCCCTCTCTGTCTGTAATGCACTTGAAGAAAATAGGTACTAGGATAGAGAATTTATCTAAAAGTACATTTTCAATTAAAATATGAAATTCATCTTTTTTTTACTTTAATAGTAGTAAGAAAAATATTAATAAGAATATATTTTTAAATTTTAGTAACCCCCTTATTTTTTCTTCCCATCCCCTGGTGTGTGATTGCAGCTCATTTTCATGGCACTGACTGTGGGAGTTAGTAGGTTCTTCCTCTACTCCGGTGTACTCCGGTGTTACCTCCGCCTTTCGACCAGGTCTCGGCCAGGCGACAGAGACAGCAACTGCGGTGCCGAAAGAGACAACCTCATGTGTGCACTTGTATGCAACTAAATTAGAGGGAAGAATGGGCAGAAAATAAAAATAAATAAAACCGAAGACAGAGTCAGGGCCCGTGAAAAATATGCAAGAAAAAGTCCAATGGCAACCGAAATGAAATGGCCAGAAAATAATTTTTTTTTTTTTTTATAATGGGAAAAGGAGAATTAGGGAGAAAACAATAGGAAGGAGAGTGGCGGTTGGAGGAGGGTGTTGGACATTAAGTTCCAGGGAATCTTAGATGGCAGAGGGTTCCAGATTTCCGGCTGCGTGGGAAAGCAAAGGCGGAATATACAAAAAGCTAAAGAAAAATATGATTAAATAATTGGATAATTTTAAAGGTTACTTTAGCATTCAAAAAGATGCAAATTTTAATTTTTTTGTTAAATATTCTTATTGTTAAATACAATTTTGACTAAATTTCCTTTTGTTCTGTGTAGGAAAAACAACAGGCTTTTGGGCAGCTTAATTAGCCGCAAAGGAGAGAAGGGCTGGGGGGCGGGGAGAAAGGTGGGACAAGAAATTTAAACATGGCCAAGCCAACCGTTATTAGCCCCAAAGTATGCAATGGAACGAGTGTGCGAGAAACTATGCAATGGGGAACAAAAGATACGCAACAAATAAAATAGTGAACCAAAAAATAGCAAAAAAAAAGAAAGACTACCCTATTACTACCCAAAGGCATGCCGAAACACATGGAACTATGTTGGGTGAGGAAAACTGTCGGAAAAACTTCCAAACACACACAGGAATGCTTTCCTTTCGGCACGTGGCTAACGTCACAGTTTGGCAGCCACTGGACGAGCGAATATAAATTGAATTTTTTCCTCAACTTCAGCAAACATAATTTTCATTCCACATGAGGACAAAAGTCCGAGAGTCAACCCAGTTTCGCCTTAAGATGCTAGACGAGACTTATGGCCAGACTTTCCCCTCGTTTTCAAGGAGGGCCCGCATAAAAGTTCCTTTTTGAAAAAAAAAGGCACTCGAATGTGGAAGGAAGGCTGCATCTTGAGGGGCATAGGCTTTTGAGGCATGGAAATACGGGTGGCTTGCATTTTTGTTGCACCACCAGAACAGAACCACTTGTGGATAGAAGGAGGGGCCCAGGCGCCCAGGCGAGACGACTAGCTTTTGATATAGAAAAGTTTGCCTCCAAAATTGTTGCGAAAACTAAATTAAAATCTGAAAAGGCCCAGGAACTGAGCTTGAATCAAGGGTTGGGTGCCAAGGGTTGGGTTTTGAGAGAAAAGATTGAGAAAAGGCCAAACAGGAAGCCATAGAATTCTTGAGGAAGGCCAAGTGGATTATGCTCTAGAAACTTGGTAACACAATTTAAGATTTTATGGCTTAAAGTTTTGACTTCTGATGGGTTTTATTTCTTAATTAATTAAAAATTGTGTATAATATTTAAGAAAGTTTTTTTTTTTTATAAATTTAAATTATAGTTCATATTTTAGCTCAATATATACATATATTTATTAAAATTAAAATTATTGAAAAATATTGCTAAACTGTAAGAAAGCGCCATCTATGAGGCCGGAAAACCAATAGGCTAGCCCTCTAGCGGTGGTTTGCCTAACTACACAATATAGTACCAAAAATCAACACAGCCAGGCGCTTACCATAGCTGTTTACCCTATCCTCCGCTAGTAGCGGGAAGCCCCATAGCGGCAGTTCTTCAAACAACGTAGTTTAGTACCTCTATCTACCACTGCAAGATATAGCGCCACTGGCTAAGAAAAAAGGTTTTCCTTGAAAATACAGAAAATTTAAATAGAAAATTCAACCATCTAACTCTTTTGGAGCAAAAAATAAATTACCGAGGAATTCGGTCAATAAAGTTTTGGCCATAAAGAGGAGAAAAGACACGACGTGGCCACACCTGACAGCTGCCAAAAACTTCAAAGACCGCAGCTGAATCGTAAAAATCGACATCAAGCCGAGCACCACCACACCACGAAACCACTTAATCCCCGGCAAGGCAGCGTAGAGACACCCGCACCCAGAAGAAGAATTAACCCATGACTGCCAGGCGATTTGACTATTAAACCAGGAGACATAACCCCAAGACCACAACAAAGCGCAGATTATGTCAAATTATACAGATGTTTTTGGGAAAGGTATGTATGTACCTTTAAGAGGGGGTGGTTGCTGATTCTTTGTTCTGGGATCTCGGTTCCGCCTATCATTTTATTCCTTGAATCCACACATCCATTCCCTACCCACATTCATTGTCCCATTGGCAATTTTTATGGCTTGCCAGCACTAAAATGAAATTTTTACAACTTTCCCTTCGAAAACATTGACCGCGGGGCACTGGGAATGGATGTGGGGTGGGGGGAATTATATAGTGCAACTGCAAGTTGGACGACTTTTATGGGTCAGTCCATCACATACTTAGATTAGTGGAGCAGAGCAGCATATGCCAGGGCTCTGGGGACGAGGTGACTGCTGCTACTGGAGCGATGACCCCCGCTGGACAATTGCCAGCCCATTGTCCTAGGTCACTCGGTGGGTTTCTAACCCATCCCAGCTAGCCAATATTTTTGTTAATGGAATGGGGGGCTACATATTGATTGAAGGGCTATTACAACTGCAATTTTCTAAAGAGACTAAAGTATAGCATTTAAAGGCATTACTACTTGCCCTCTTTTCTTTTCTGCGAATCTTATAAGAAATATGTAAGAAACGCCCTCTTGGTATATAGTTTATAGTTCCGCTTGGATGATCTAGGGGGTACCCACCTGAGAAAAGTATGCGGGCAGGACGCAGCGCTGGTCATCGAGTCGCGAGCACTGCACACGCTCGAGCAGCTCGAAGAGATCCTGGGTGGCACCGCGCAATCGTTCCGGACTGTGGGTGACGCTACCGGTGCCGCTTCCTCCGCTTCCACCTGGCTGCTGTTTCTGTGTGTTGGCCATAAAGGCATGCTGGCGTCTGGAAATGAAACAAAATACAGGAAACTGGTTAATCATAGAGCACGCAAAGAGCCAATCACTGAACCAAACTTGGGCACAGCTGAGCTTTCGAGATCGCTTCATGCTTCGAGAACATAAAATCTAGAAAAGAAAAACGTTCAATTGACTGAGCAGGCTGGAGTGCTCCTGAGGGCTAACCTCTGACTGCCAAGGGTTAGGCTTTGGTTATGGGAACAAGAATACGATCACAGAGTGGCACTACAGTGCTCAAGACTTCCTGACTTCAAGAGGCCATTGAGGTAGTTCTTCCCAAAAAAAAAAAAGGATCGAAGGGTATTTGTAAGAAAAACGTTTAAGAAATGAATGTAGTTTTAGTTTTCAAGTAAATGGTAGGGAATTTTTAAATTTTCTTTCTAATATTTACTTTAATAAATTCTGCAATGTTTCTTCTTTTAAACCCAAAGCCCAACCCATCCCTCCTCAAGGTAGACTTTTCTTTAGACTTTGTCTGAAAGTCAACAACTCTCGATACATCCTGAAGTCCTTTTTCCATATTTTCAAGCAGCCTTACAGAATTATGAGTGGCCACTTGAATATATTCCACTTTTCGGTGGCAAGCAGCTTCTCTTTATTGTCATTAGTGGCCATTTCTTGATGGGATGTGTGTGAAATTCAGTGTTCCGGCTTTTCTTCTTTTTGTAAAGTTTCTGTTGACATACAAACTACCAACGCCTCGAAATGAACACACAGAGTGGAGTCCCAAAAAAGGATGTTTATATTGTTGTTGTGCAATGTCCTTTGAGTTGCTGTTGCAGCTGTTTCTCTACTTCTCCAGTTCTCTAGTGCTCCACATATTTCTCTCTACTCTCAGGAATTTATGTTTATTTTTAAGAGGAGGAGCTCTCAGGCTGCCACTCGTAAATTAACACCTACCCATACCCATTCCCTTTTGGAGGAGGTTCCAAATGGAGCACACACATCTGAGATGATGACAGTTATGGGAAAAGGATATCAAAAACACGACTTGTGATGAGCCTGATTGGAGGTGGAGTGTGTGTCGTACAAAGTGGCGGTGAAAGTGAAATTCTTTCCTTTTCTTTTTTGGCTCGGGGCTAGGCCACACCCCATTCTGAAGTTGGGTAATTGGAGAAGAGTCTAGGGTTGGGGCTACAACCACCAGCAGATGCTGATGATTTACTTTAAGAACCTAAAGAGTTACTGCCTGAAGTTTTAATCAAAAATCCACAAAGCATATCCTTTTAACCTTTAGCCCGAATTTCCCATCAAAACTTTTATTAAATTCCTCCACTTTTATGGCTTTTTCAAATTCATAAATCAAAGCCATTTATTTTCCTCACATTTCTATAGTTTTTACAAACTAGGCAACATGCATTTCACAGATTTTACAACTATTTTCAATGTCGCTTGATCGAATTACGAGACGAAAACAATTTTATTGCATTTTTATGACAATTTTTCACATGAATTGCTCGACAAATTTCAATGAAATCAAATCGGTAATAAAAGTGAGCCGCATCCGAGGAGCGGTGACCCAAAGGAGGTGGTTGACAGTTGACTTTAACAGCAGAAATGGGCCAACAATGGTCCATAGTGATTCTAACCAACAGTTATGCTGTAATCTGATGCAGATTTCAATACAGATTCTGTTGTGTGTTTTTCGAAAAAAAAAAACACCCACCAAACAGACGTTTCCTGTATGTGTTGCGGTTACGCCTGCGCTGCACCACCGAAAACCTTTCATTCTGGACGGGCTGGCCTGGCCTGGGCTGTTGTTCCCTCATTATATGCAACCACCCACATAATTAAAAGTCATTACCGGCAAACAAAAAGCGTTAATTCTAGAGGGGCGGTGACGGTGGCGGCGTCTTCTTGGGCTTTTTTTTTTCGAAATGTTCATTAAATGCAAATTTATGGGCACCATCCCAGCCCAACCACCCATCCACCCACTAAACCACCGACCCTTTCCACACTTTGGTTCAGGTTCCTTACTCATTTGGCATGCGCAAGGCATTGCGCGTGTTTAAAGTTTAGCCGCAAAATGTTGCAACAACTGGTGGAGAAATGGGGGCTGGGTATGGGGCTAGTAGCTTTTAGCCAAGAAAACAATTACCAACAAAAACAGGCAGGGAAAAGAACAAAGCAATGCGGTGCTGACAAGAAAAGATAGATGGGACTAGGCTCCGAAAACGACTTGGAGAAAGATTCTGGTTGGAGAAGTATGGAGTTATTTTTACAAAAAGTTTCGGGTTAATATATTCCCAAAGAGTCGCTACAGGGCGACGTGAGAAAAACACTTGTGGGAGCTATGAAAAAAAATTCAAGAACGGATATAGAAAGAACTATAGAGACCACCTTGCAATCCGCACTGGGAAATGCTGTTCTGTGGCTTCTATTTCCCAAAAAAAGAGTCAACTTGCCTTAGAAATAGTTCCTTTTTTTTGGCATTTCCCCAGGCGCTAATTTGAAACGTTTTACCAAAGATACTTTCCAGCGGCAACGAGTGTGTGTCCCAATGAAAAATTGAAGGAAATGTCCGACGTAAAGGAAATCAAGTCCCAAAGGACAAAAGGACACACACACACACCAACACACATTCAAAGGCATAGAAATATAAAGTGTCACAGCCAGAGACATTCATGCATTTCACAGCTAATAATGGGTCAGGAAAACTGGAAACTAGAGCACTCCCAGATAGCATCGCAGTTGGAGAAAATCGAGTCGAAGGCGCCCGGAGAAGGGGTGGAAAAGTGGACAGGGGCGATGCACTCGGTCCGATAAGGGGACTTGGACAGGAGACATGTCAAAGGATACTCGCATGGCACCAAAAAGTCAACTCCGCGCCCCAGTCCCAAGTTAGGGTCGTTGTCCGGCGCTGGGAAAAGAAGTGTTCGAGGTGGGGTGAGGTGAGGCCAGGACCCTGTAATTAATAGTATCCCCTGGTAATTTCTTCATCAAAACAAGTGAAAATTAATGTTTGATTTCCTGGCTTTTATTAGAAATTAAAAGCCAAGTAATTAATTTCATTGTACTTAGGATAGTATGGCGTGTAAAAATACAGAACCTATTTATTAGTAAATTAATAGAATTCTTAACTGACCACTGCAACTTCCTCTTGAATCCTTTATGAGAAACTTCATTTATGCATTTATGATTAATGGTTAAGGAAATGAAAGAAAAAGGCTTAGCCTCTGTAAGCTAAAGGAAATGGAAAATCTGCATTTTCAGGGATGGCCAGCCGATACCCTCCCCTCCTTTCCATTCTTTTGCATTTTCACATAATCCCGAATGTCGCGACTTCCGCGCCTCGTGAATTGTCATTAAAATTAGTTCCAAGACATTCAGCGAAAAGGATTCGCGCACAAGTTTTTCTCATTTCCGCTGCTGGGGTGGAAAACTTGTCTCTGCCCAGTTTTCCTTTTGTTTCCAAAAGAAAATCTCCCTGCCAGCCGAGGGGTTGCATCGTAAACTCGTTTCCTTCTTTGTCGTTCAACCTCATAAATGCAACACGTTCCAGACACTCGAAATATCCTCCTGAAGATGATATCGTCCTCTTCCCTCAAGATGGTACAGCCAGACCCTGAGCTTTTACCTGAGCTGGTTCCATAAATTAGCCACAAATTTGCCGGAAAAGTTTCCTTCGGCGCCAAGTTTTATTGGTTTTTGAATCGGGTTCTGATTTACATATTTTTAATCGCCCTTTTATATCACCTTTTTTTTGGGGTAAAAATTACACAATTTCTTGGCCACTTTCTGGGGAAAACTTGTTCTTGTTTTATTTGCTGACAGCTTTAGGAAATTTATGGCTCCTCAATCAAAGGAAAGGAAAGTTCTAATGGCCAGGAAGTGAAAGTGTATCCAGAGGAGAGAACGGATTATAGGGGCAGCTGTGTGTGGTCAGTGGAAGGGATTCTGGGAAAATTTTCTTTTAAAAAAACATTTAATTGGCTAAGTAGATCTAGATTTTTAAAATTAAGGGAAGAAAAAGGGTTCTAAGGTTGAGTTTTCCTGTGAAAAGATCATCGCCCGAGAAGCTGTTGGAATGATTTTCAAATGGGATGTTGTCCGATAACCTTTTCATAATTATCCGAAAGTTCAATTGAGGCTGCAACCTTTGTGATATTTTGTTTTGGGATAGATTATAGAAAAGGTCAATATCGTTGCCTATACTTCTCGGCTTTATTTTAATTAAAAGCAGCCAAGTCATTACTTAATTGTGTCTTAAAACTAAAGTCTTGATAAATATGCAGAGGCACATACTTTTATAAATATTCCAACTACGTCAACGGGCCATTTATTCTGGCCACCTTTTCCAAACTAGTCCCGTCTGGAACCCCCCTTTTGCTATCATTATCCAGCGATTCGAGTCAGCCGACAAGTTCAATTTGACACGCAATTGGTGTTGTTGGGGGCTTCCAATTCGAGGGCAAGAGGGGGCTAAGAACAACCTGTTGTTGGCCATGTTTTCCTCCCGTTTCGGCCAGTGCAAATGCAGCATGAAAATGTTAGTAATAACCGTTTAAACGTTGATACTTTTAATGCTTCTTACAGGTGGGTTACCCCTGCCCAGGTAATGGGATAGAGAGAGGGCCACGCTGAGCCACTTTGCATATTAATGAAGCGCGTCAGTAAGTCAGTTAGCAGGGCTATTTATAAGGCCGGTGAGGGCTCTGTTCATGTCTCATCGGGCCTTCTTCCCTTGGTCATACAGTGAGAGGAATTCTAGAGGAAGTTTAGACCTTTTCAGATACATTTCAGGTAGCAACAGCTTCATGGCTTGTTTATTTATGTTTATATTTTTCTTATAATTTAAAAAAATATTTTTCCAGTGTATATAAACTCCTTGGCTTGAAATTAATGTGGACAAGGCACGCGCTTCTTCATTCTGCACGTGCCTGGCTAACATTTTGGCCCCCACCCTTGGCATCTCCTTTCTGGCCAATATTATTCATGGCCTCTTCCCATTTTGTCACCTTGCCGAAAATCGTTGACCAAAATTTTGGCGCGCTTTTCATCATCGGCCTCTTAGTCATAGTCTTAGCCTTTTGACTTTGGCACAACTCCTCCCTCTGTCTTGGCCAAATGCTCCGTGTGGGCGACTACAACAGGCAAGGTCGCGACTTGCAATCTTTGGTGTCAAATCTCTGCCTCGGGGTCTCGTTAATTTCCAATTATTACCAAGCAGCTTACAAGCATGTGGGTTGTTTTTCTCTGCCCCATGTTGCAACAACCGAAAATAAACAGCATCCGTTGTACAGCATCTCTTTCTCTCAGTTTTTGGGAAAATTGGCAACGCATTTCCGGCAGATCCGTCAACAAAGATGCGACATTGAGGGATTGGCGGATTGAACGATTGATGGATGACCGATTAAATTAAATGGTTAATTGTGGCGCGAATGTGAGGCAAGTCCGTGTTAGTGGGTTAAACGCTGACGGGTGATTATTACCGCACTGCCAGGGGGATTACCTCGTTGGCGACGACGCGTTTAAAACAGCAGGGAACTAGCTCGATGGCGTTTTACAGGCGATTTAAACAGCTTCTTAGTGGACTTAAATATTTCTTTCTTTTACCAGATTTTTACCAGAAACCGCTTGAATAAGACAACGCGACTTGTGCGCTGTTTTAACCGCTCTCAAGCCGCCAGCGTTTGCCGCGTTCGCTCGCCAATAAAACGCTTCAAATTATTTTGATTGCCTGCTAATGCAACTTCCTCCACAATGCAGACTTCTAATTATGTTAGCTGCTGCGCTTGCATGTCTATTGACCATTTACTACCAGTAGTGCCCCACCCCCTTAGCGTCTTCCGCCCCTCTTTCTGAAAACACATGCCTGGGTGCGGGTTAAGTCGCGTTGGAGTTGTAGTCTCGGAAATTATGATTGCACGTCTGCGCACTTTTTGAACTTCAAGATCTTTTTTTTTTATTATTTTTTTTTATGTTTAAGCCCAGAGGGAGAATCCAATTTTGGCCATGCGGATATGCATGTGTGGGTTTGGCCAAGTGATTTACCACCTTTCGGCTTTAACGGTGGTTTCTGTATATTTTTTAGTTATTTTTTTTTATACCCACTGATCCTAACAAATTAGATAAGCCATGAGTATGCTGGACTAGAGAACATGGTCGGAGAATCACAGAGGTTTCTCTGTTGACTTTGCTGATTTGCAAAAAAAAAAGGAAATCCGCAAAAAACAACACCTAACGAGAGGGGTGCGAAAAACACAGCCGCAAGGCAAAAAAAAAAGGGTTAAGCCATATCACCTTACATGCAGAATATAGGTATTCCTCCCTATAGGTATACCTTTCCTATCCCTCCAACAGCTGTTAGGGCAAGGAAGTGGAAAAGCCATCATCATCATCATCAGGCACCATCATTCATTAATCATAAATTTAATTAACAAACAGCCCAAGACAGTGACAAATAAAAGGGTTTCCTTGAGATCTCTCCGAGTTCTTAGAGGCCTTTTATATGCCCCTTCGATAATCCATAACTCATTCGCGATTTTTGTGGTTTGTTTGTTCCGCCATGGAAAACAAACCCCAAACCAATGACATTTGACAGTTTTTGCAAAAATGGGAAAGGGTATTTGCATATTTTATGCATTAAGAGCACACTCCCAAAGACCGTAATCGGAGTCCTGTCGAGTGCAGTGTAGTATTGGCTGGCATACAGGGCTAATTAGGGCCCATTTCAAATTCAAATGGCAAATCAAATAATTTGCATAATTTTTGCATATCTCACAGAGGGACACAAAAAAAGAGACAATGCCCGATAGAGGCAATTCTGTCAATATTTGCTTACATGACATTTATACTGAATCCCAACCGATGGGATTCGGTTGGTAAATGGAGCATAATTCAATTATCCGATTGGCTTTGGATTTTGAATTAAAAGAAAAAATATTTTCAGGAATATTTAGATACATACAGCAGATTTTTCATGTAGCGTTTTCGGGCCACCAACGTGAATGATTCCTTGTGTGTATGCGCCAGATATTTCATCTTGTCTGAGATCAGTTGTGAGATTTTCCAACAGGTAGAAATTCTCTTTGTCCTTTCCCTTGGGTCAGGTCACTTCTCCTTAATATTATTATTATTGTTTGTGTTTGCTTGGGTCAAGATGGTAAAAGTATCTTGCTCCTTTGCAGGTAGTTTTGATTCTTTTAGGATTTATCCTTGAATATTGCACTGGGAAGTAAACACTAAGTTTGATGAACTACACTATGTAAAATTCCCCGCTCTATGTTCGGTATCTTTCAGATACATTCGTTTGATGTATTTCGCAGTTTGTTCGTTTATTATCGTATCTCGCTTTTTTTCGCTGCGAACTTGACCCACTGACGGAACCCGATTATACAATATATATACAACCTAACCGCACGAAGATTCTTTTGAAACTGAGTTCCTGAATTTCCGAGCCATTACCAGTTTCGAGTTTCAGTATCTGAAGAGTTGGGTTTTCAACCCCCTGTGTCGAACATGTTTGATCGTAGGCTACACTCGGAGAAAATAGGGCTTGGAATGGAGGCTAAAGCCTGGGATTAAGGGGAGGTTTTAGGTTCGTACTAAAAGGTTTTATTTTGGGAACTTTTTGTTGATAAATCTTGAATTTATTTTATCGCAAATATTAAAATAATACCTAGTTCTACCCTATACCTGTTTGAAACTATTGTGAATCTTTCGATAAATTATTCAATTTATTTTAAAATCTTTTTTAAACAAACATTAGAAATATATGATCTTTTAGGGTACAAAGTCTTTAAATCTCTTAATTTTTCAGAGTGTAGTTGGAGTTGCGATCGCCTGAGTTCGAGACGAACTTGAACTTGTACCGGGTTTTATCAAGACATTACTTCTGATACCGGTACCGGATACGAGCGTGTCACAAAAGGCCCGTCCCGGCTGTTGTTTTTGGGGTTCGGCCCTTGTCCATTTGAGATCGGAACAATAGGCCTATGGCTGGGTTCTGGTCTGGTCTGGACGTTTGCTTCTATAATTTCATACCCAACTGGGAGGCGCACATGCAAAACATGAAAACAATAGGACAGACATGAGGAGAATAAGTCATTAACACCTGAACTGGACGCAGACTCACTGAACTGACAGATCAGATATCAAAAGTACAACGATTCGAGGGGAAGGAGGTATACCCACTAAAGGGGTGGTAGTGTTTGCGGAACTAACGGGTTGGTTAACAGACAGGAAGCTAAGCAGTTAGTTTAAGGAGAATATATCTAAGAGATTAGCAAAAATAAAATAAAAGTAATGATTAATAAGATACTCTTTCCTACCATCTTCAGTTAGGATCATCATCTATCTGTTTAGATCCTAATTACCCTAGGTTTTATGGGTTCTGTACTATCCGATCTGTTCATCTGTTGTCTCAACAACAGCTGACCTAATACCTACCTTTAGACTAATAAGTACCCCTTCGACCTTATCATTAAAATTCAATTCGATTTCTTTAAGACTAAGATGGAGAAAAAACCCTTAACTCATTTCCACTTCCTCTGGCATACCTGAAACCCATTTTCCCATTTGTGCTCCCATTTGCAACGCTTTATTAACCGTGTTTTCATTTAGTTTTCCTTTTCTTTTCCATTTTTTTTTTGCTTTCTGGAGTGCAACTTCATCTTCAATTTCCAATGTTGGCCATAACTTTCTAACCATTGTTTCTCCCAGGGTCCAAGAAATGCGTCTCCCCGTGGCAGTGTTTGTTTCTTGGGCTGTTGAGGCTGTTGAGGTTGAGGGTTTTATGGTCGTTCCGCTAGTCATTCAGCGCTCAACACCTCATAATTCTATTGTCTTTCGACCTGTCCCGGCCCGTTTCCACTGCCGTGTGTGAGTTTGCATACATAATCACGATAATCAGCTTCTTTGGGTTCGCTTCTTGGCTTCCTCCCCTCGTTAACTTCACTTTCTTGACTAGTTTTTCTCCAACTCGGGTGTCTTGGCTTCTCAAATTATGCAAATTTGCCAGCGGCTCTGTTTATGTGTCGCCAGTTGATGACGACGCACTCCACCCAGATTTTTTTCCCTACTTCTCTTGGAGTAAAGTTTTTTTTCTCTTTAGCTTTTTTTTATGATTTTTTAATTTGCAGCTTACTTAAAAGTGAGGTTCTGGTAGCTCTCTACGGCTCGGAGTGTTACCTATTTTTTTATTCTAATTGTCATCTCAGGTGTCAAAGGCGCCTGCGCACGCGTTTCTCACCCCAAAAAAGGATATCAGGCGACCCCTCAACCCATCAACCCTAAAAAAAAAGCACTCACAAAATTTTAGACAGCCAGGGGTGAGTAGAGCCTTTAAAAAAAAACACTTTTTTTCTGCCCGAATTTAAGTTTGAATTTATAATTATGGGATGTTATATCCCCTGAGTTCATTATGATTTGTTCGCTCAATTGGTAGAGTTTGATTGGTAATCTTTTTTTCTGAACAAAAATGGGTATTTCTAATACAAAAAAAAAAAAATTTACATAATTTTATGAATTGCCAGAAACAAACCATAGAAAATGTAACAAAATAAACTATAAATTTGTCAGAGTACAGACCAAACTGTGCATAAAATTAGAAGAAGGTGGTACTCTTGGTTTGTAAAACTATTGTTTGTGAATATTTAAGTTAATAAATTAAAAGGAAAAAACTGCATAAAATGTAATAAAAAAATCATTGTAATGTGGTCCAGAAAAGTCTGTAAAAATTGCAATTTTAAATTCATGACTTTGCAACTGAAATTCTCCCCCCTTTTGGGCGTCACACGTTCATTGTTCTGGACCCCAGCCCCAGCTGACCGTGACATTGATAGCAGACGTTAACCCATGACTGACTAAATTCGCTCGTCCCTCACCAAATTGAAGATAAATTTCCAGGGAAGAGACCCAAAAAAACAGCTAATTCATTTCAATGAAAATTTCCGCAATTACAGAACAAAATTAAATGTTAGAAATTTTCAACTGCTACTAAACATTTTATTTTATGTTTTTTTTTGTTGCAAAGCCAGTTAGACATTCTGTCTGTGTGGATGTCTGAGGGGGTCAGTAGGAGGGGATACTGGGGATGTGGGTGGTTCATTGGGGGAGGTGGTGGTGCTGTAGAGCCTGTTAAGGGAGGCTGTCAGTCAAGCAGACGCCGCTGCAGCAAAGTACATTAACCCATGTTGGGGAGGCCTCGTACGAATGGGAATTGCTTGGGGAAGGCCGTCGTCTATCCCCCACTATACCTTTCTCTTTTCTTTCGCCCACCCACCCAGGCCACTCAACGAGAGAAAGAGAAACAGCCGCAGAACGAGACACACAACGACACTCTTTGGAAGCGTTTCTACCGCTGATTGTAGATGCGTGTAGCCACAGATGGGGTCAACAAAATAATAATAGCCGTGGGATATATTTAAATGTAGTTAGGAAAGTTTGTTTTTTAAGTTTAAGGAAATTTAATTGAAATTAAAATAAATAAAATAACTAAAAGAGGACTAGGTTGTAGGATTAAGCCGCAAAAGTGTTGATTTAAGAAAGCTTAACATACTCTTCTAGGTTTGACCTTTTGAAGCAAAATTGTAAAGCTTATTCTTTATATAAATCATATAATATAATAAAGATTTGATTTAAGATTTTTTCTTAGTGTTTAAAAGTATAAATTCTAGCCCGTCACCTCCCCCTCAGTGGGCCTAGCTTTCAGCCCCCTTCTGCCATCGCAAAGTTGAGCATTTGCTGCATTGGCGCATTTTTGCAATGTTTCCGTTTTGAATTCACTTTTATTCCCCAGCCACCTCCTAGCTTTTCTGCTAACCACCTACAACATACCTTCTATTTTTCACCACCTGCCTCCCCCCCTTTTCTTTTTTTTGTGCAAATTAACAAACCGAGTTGAGCTCCGGCCCGAGTTCAGGAGCTTGCAAAATGCTGTGGAAACTGTCTCGTGAGTGTCTCGGCCGTTTTCCGCAACATCCACCAGACCCCCTAGCACCCAGCTCTGAGCTCTTCTAGCTGCCACCCCTGCTATGAAAATCTACACCTCCAGCATAGAGTTTCCCGCTTTTCCTCTAGGCACACATAATTAAAACGTCATCGCCGCCGTCGTATTTGCTGCTATTGCCGTTGTTGTTGTATAATAGTCAGCGCTTTTTGTTCGCTCCTCGGGGGTAAAGGATATTATATCAACTTTGCCAGCAAGGAGCTCCATGTCCCAGCTCCCAGAGAGGAGGTTATAAACGCGTTTCTCTAGCAGGATGACAGTATATATTGGGGTAGGCGCTTTGCCTTTCAGATTCAAAAGGAGTGATGGAGAAAGTTATCCTAAAATTTATGTCTCTGTATTTCTTAATAATATTATCTAGCTTAAAGCTTAGATAGAGTATATAGACTTCGTGGTATTTAATCTTATTCCATACCAGTACCTTAACAACGAGCAAAGCACTTGAACAGGTTCACACCACTCAACTGATCCACCCCCAGGAGCCCCCAACTCCCGAGCTCTTTTAATGAAATTTAAGCAACCCCCTATCCCCTTACAGGCTTCCAGCTTATGAGCAGCCCCACTTAAGATTTATTTTCTCTCAGTGCACTGCAGACTTGGCAACTTTTTGTTGGTAAGAAGTTACCAAGAAAGTGGAGTGGGCGAGACGGTTTTGTTGGCTCAACAATTCAGAAAAGGCTGAATGCGGAGTTCTTGCATAATGAGAATGCATAATGTTTCTCTGCTCTGCATCGGGACACTCTGCGAATCATTCAACAAATGTCTTCAATTTTCAAATAAACTAATTTGTTCACAAAAATTTGCATATCGAGAATCGAATGTCAGGGAAACTGGTTTCCATCCCATTTTCGATCGCATCTCTTAGATAGGACTGAAAAATGAGAATCCAATAAGGGAGGTGAGGTCGTCAAGGTGAGGGGTTAAAGCATGGGTTAAAGAGCCGAACTTCAACATGCGGGCCCCGGAGCACAACTCAGACAGTGAACACACACACACAACAAATTCTTTCAGGCAGTGTCCCTACTCCTGGCCCTAGGATGGGTGAAGAGTCCTTACAAGTGCCGAGTCAGGCAGGCCAATAGGAAACTTTTAATACTCTGACTAAAGGATATTGCTTTACATAGTCATCCAGGTTTATAGATAGAGTATCCTAAACTAGACTATTGTTTAAACACAGGGGGTACATTATTTAATCAACGTTGACAATCTCATCGTGGGGCACAGTCGGACTTGTTAGATGTCCTGGCCGAGTGTCCTGTGTGTGGGTTTGTAAAATGCAAATTTGCTGCCACACGCCTTTAAAGCCAATTTCAAGGCACCTCTGTCTCTGTTTTTGTTGCTGCTACCCTGTTGTCCAGAGTTAATTTTTTCAATTAAATGGACTCTCCCACCCACATTGGCATTTTCTATTTAATTGCTCCGC